TTGGCACAAATTTTAAAGCAGGGAATGCCTGCAGTTGACACACAAATCCTCGTGGGACACGAGTGCATTAACATGTGAGCACAGCCAGTGTGAACGGGAACAGCGCGCCTGCCAGCTGGGATCAGCCCAGAGACCCAGCTAGTCCTGTTACACGGTTGCCACCTCTGAGGCCCAAAAGACTCAGACGTCTGCCTGCCCTCCAACACATACACCCCTGGGTACCGCTTATCCCCCACCCAGGGCCCTGTCTCCCCATCCCACCTCCAGGAGAGGGCACCAGCCCTGAAAGCTCCTGCTGCCAGAGCTGTCCCTGGCGACGACCTCGCCAAGCAGGACACAGTACCGGCTAAATCCACCCTGGCAGCAACCACCCAGCTAGAACCTGCATGGTGGTGACTGGGTGCTACCCACCCTCAGCTCCCCCTGTCCTGTTTGCTACTGACCCATCCCCATGGCTCCCAGACACCCTGGAGCCAGAGGTCCCTCTGCACAACACTGCCACCCTACCGGCTACCGCCAGTGGGGGCTGGGGGAGCCAGCAGGGGTGTGACTGACAGAACCCGGGACTTTTAAGGGCCTGGGCAGACTTCCAGATTTCCCAGCACAGCTGCCTAAAAAAAGGGCCAATCCTGGGAAAACTTGCATGGGTGGCAACCCTATTCCTGTATCAGCACCCAGCACCAGCTGGTTCAGAGGAAGGTGCAAGAACCGCCCCTAGTGGACAGTTATGGCATAACGTGTCCATGGGGAAATGTCCTCTTTGCAAAATTCCGCCCCCCCCCGGCCCCCCCCCGCTCCCTCCCGGCCTCCTCCATTGCTGAAGGGAGCACAGAAAAAACAACTCTTGGATCCAAATCCAGATGCAGCTGCTGCCTTTGCTCTGGGAGCATCGCTCTGTGCAAAAGGCAAGAGCATCCACGCCATGAAGCATCAAAGCGCCTTCCAGAGTGAGGGCCCTGGGAATGTCATCGTTGACGCCCAGGCTGTGGGATGCAAACCAGGAAGAGATGACGTCGGGGGCAGCGGGAAGAGAATGACTAGCCGTACTCAAAGCTTGCGCTCTGACAATCACTGGGCTGATGCTGACGCTCGCAGGCAGAGTGAACGAGCTAGTAAGGGGCAGAGAGAGCGAGAGAAGAAAAACTATCTGAGGGAACAAATGGGCTCTAAACTACCATGGCTATTAACCCCTTGGTTGGCCGGTTCCCTCTAGGAGAGGGCCCTGTGTTTTGGAGCCCGGGTATCAGCTCCTGGATGGGGCACAGCAGGGTGGGGCAGAGAGGGGGTGTCTCTCGCTCCTGGGCCCTGGCCTGGCCTGTTCCCCAGCCGGGGCTCAGAGGTGGCTGGAGCCAGGGGTGATGCTCGGGGTTAAAGGGCAGCATGTGACCTGCACGTGGGAACACTGTTCAGCCCCCAATATTTCCACTGCAGGAGGTGATAGCTCCCCTCTGCCCCCGAATCCAGCTGACAAATGCAGGCATCAGATAAGCGGCAAATTCTTGGCAGCCAGGGGAACTCCCCCTCAAGGACATGGCACAGTGGCTCACGCCAGACCGGATGGCTCTCTGAAAGCTGGGCTCTAGCTCAGCCAGAAGAATGTTCTCAGTGGTTTATTGTGGGCTAAGGAGATCACTTGTTTATATCCTGAAATCTACGTGCAGGCACACAGGGAGCTCCTCTCTGTACATTCCCATGGTCCAGCTGCTGGAGTAGTTTGCTACTCAACACAGGTAAAGGGGAGCAGATTGGGGTCCAGGGGGTCAGATTTCCAGTGCCCAGCATCTCCCCAGTTGTCCAGATCCTGCAGCTTTCGCTGTGACACCCCAGGACTGGCTGGTCAAAGCTCAGGATGGAGAATCCCCACACCCCAGAGAAGAGGGGGAGCAGCCGGAGGCTGAGAATTTCACAAACACTTGCCAGGAACGTCTTGTTAAAAACCTCTTGTCTCTGTGATGATTGAATCAAGACAAGGGGCTCTGGTGCATTTTAATTCCCTGGGCTTTGAAGGATGGGTCTAAACAGCTCACCATTATCATAAATCAGCCCTTTGCTTTGCATTGGGGGCAGTGACGCTTGTAAAACACGTCCTCATCCCGGAGCTGCGTCAACCCAGCCCTGGCTGAATCCACCGGCCCTGCATCTAGAGCGGGGGGCGGGGGGTAACCCTCATCTCAGTTGGCCGTGGGGTTCACCCCCAGCCAGCTATGCCAGCCCTCAGAATTCCCCCCGCCCGGCGATTAGTGTGTGGCATCGATGCTCCCCGCCCTTTGCCCTTTGGCCTCTTGATGGGAAGTGGAGCTTCAAAAGGCTGCCAGACAGGCGGCTGCTGGAGGGAGCGGTGTGATGGGGGACGCAGTGGGAGGATTGCATTTTCTGGTGCCACCAGGCCTGCGTCAGCATGCGGCCGTGCCGGCCCGCCGCCGACAGGGCTCTGAACAGGTGGGAGCCTCTAGAGCAAAAGCTGCAGGCGATTTCAGTTGGGGAAGAACCCAGATGTGGCCGCGTGCCTGTCTCCGCCGAATAACACCAAATGCTACGGGGGCAACTGTTCGAATAGATACCAGACCTCAGCCAAGCTGGGCATTGGTGAATTGGGAGTGACTCCACTTTTGAGAGGGTTCCAGAGGCCTGGTCTACACTTCCAGTTTAGACCAACGTAGCTCTGCTGCTCGGGGTGTGTGGGAAAAATTCACCCCCCTGAGCCCCCCAGTGCAGCCACAGCTAGAGACAGTAAAGGCTGAGATGGGGGTGATCAGATCTCAGGCATCAGCTGATGGGCACCGAGGCATTCTTCCATCGACCTGTCTGGCTTCACTTGGGGAAGTGGAAAAACGCCTTCCGGCGCTGTCGGAAGTGGCTACACTCTGGCATTACAGTGGCACAGGTACGGCCCAGAGTATAGACAAGCCTGCAGGGCTGGGAGGAGGAGCAGAGGTCAAATCTGCACCAACTCACGCCCCTCCCCATGAAAGTCAATGGCAGTTAGGTGCCGACACACCCTTGGGAGCTGGGCCTGCCGCCCTGCACTCCTCCCTCCTGTGCAGGGGGCCCAGCCGTGCAGGGACGGGCATGCTGATCAGAGCACAGAGGAGCTAGAGGCAGGCTCGGGCTTGTGTTCGGTGGAAGGGAATGGTAAGAGGAGAAAAGAGCCCATTGGTTTAACACACGTTTTCCTTGCATTCACGTGGAGAACAACCCAGACCCAGTTTGTACTGAGCAGACCCTGGCTTCCCCAAGTGATGGTAATTGCCCCCCGCCTTAACCGATGCTGCAGGAGAAGGTGAACCCCGCTCTCCCCCTGGCCCATTGTACAGTGCTGTGAAGAAGTGGCTGGGGGAAATCCCCTCCTTCCCCCCTCCCCGTCCGTGCTGATCACAAAATGAGCCAGACCTCCTTCTTGTCTTCAAAGCCCAGCTCCAACATTTCAGCCTGGGGCCTCGTGAATTCTGCCCACTCGGATGGCAACTCGGGCAGGGCGCTAGGAGCCAGGGGGCTCTCGTTCTGGCTCTATCACTGAGTCACAAAGTGCTGGGGGGGCGGGGAGGACTTGCTGCTGTCCTTGGGGAAGCTCCCTTCCACCCCCGTTGCCCCTCAGCCACCCTCGATGGTCATATGGGGATGGGCGATGCCGAGGGAGGCGAGCGCCAGGATCAGGGAAGGAAGCTCTCTGTGATGCTGGCCTGAAAGGCAAACCAGCAAAAAGCAAGCGGGGATGGCTCCAGCCAGCCAGCATCTGGCCCGGTTAATACCCCGAGCCATGCTCTGTGGCTCACGCATGAGTAAAGACGGTGCGTAGCCGAGAAGGCCCAAGAATAGCTGGGGTGAAATCATCAGCGGCCTGATGCCACCAGCTTGAGCGAGAGAAGCATGTGGCCGGGCAGGATGGGGGTGGGTGGAGAGCGAACACGGGGAAGGAGCCAGGGAAAGCTGCTCTCGCTGAGCAGCCTTGGGCTCTGCCTCGCACAGGGCCCTGTGCCCCGCCGGCCCCCCCATCAATCCAGCGGCCGCAGTCGCACACGGCAGCTGAGAACCTGGCAGTGAGCTCTTGGTTGGCATGTGTGAGCAGGCGTCTGGGAGCTGGGCCTAGCAGGAGGCAGGCTGGGGGGGCTGAGGCTTGGCAGCGTGCCAGGGAGGACCGGAGAGTGGGGCGCAGGGGGGTAAAGGTGAAGGCAGCAGGGAATGGGTCTTATACTCAGGGGGGCTGAAGGAAAACTACCCACCCCCAGGGGGATTGTAGATCTCGCTGACAGCAGGCAGGGAGGAAAACTCCACCTTAAAGAAGGGAAAATGCTTCCACATATCCCTCCCCCACCCCCCAAATCCATCCAACATGAAGGATCCCGGTTTGCTGCCTTTGCACTATTCCGCCGTGCAAGGCCGGGAGAGTCCAACCGTGCGAGGCTGCAGGAGGACCCACGAGCATCCTGGCTGAGGGGAGATGGCGGTGGGGGGGGGGGCGCAGGATAGAATTGGGGAAACCCCCGAAAAACCACCTGATCCCACAGAAGATACTGGCATCCCCCGGGGGCAGGGGAGCTGGGACAATTTGTATGGGGGGGGGGTGGCTGAGAGCCATTGAAGCCCAAACTGTAAGCCCTGGATAGGATGGGGACCACTTCAAGCCAGGGGGTGCGGCAGCGGGGCAGCCCCCCCCCCACTTAGAGTCCCGCACCTCCGCCCCCCAGCTCCCGCAGCAGCCCCGCGGCCCAAGTAACTTCAGAGCGGGGCTGGGGGGCTGAGGGGCAGCCCCGCCCCCTGCCGGGGAGCCAATGGGCGGCCGGCAATCGCCCCCCCCCCCTCATTAGCATAGCCAAAGCCCCAGCGCGGTTAATGAACTTCTGGTGAAGCGAAGGGGGCGGAGCCGGGCAGCCTCCGAAATCAAACGAGTAGCCCCAGCCCGGGCACTTCGCAGCCAGCCGGGTCCCGGAGCGGGGCGCGTCCCGGGGGCACCGGGGGACGGGATCGGGGGTGCCCGGGACCAGCCAGGGGCCGGGGTTTGCTACGCATCTTGCGGGGGGGGCGGAGGTTATTGTAGGCGAGTTAATATAAGGGGCGAGCAAGAAGTTTTATTTCCAAGTGTGGACGGGGGAGCCGGGGCTGTTCCCCCTCCCCGGGAGCACCCAGGCGGGCTTCACTCTTTTCTTGAAAACCAGAGAGGTGGGGGGGGATCTTTCTCTCCCCCCCCCCCATCTTGACCTATTTGTACCAGCATCATGACGGAGCTAAGCGAAAAGGAGAATGACCCCCAAAACCCAGACGCCCAGCGGTCCCCGGGCACCATCTCCAGCCTTCACGAAACGAAGGTAACTCCCCGACCCATAGCCCCGGGGGCACGTATCTTCCCCACCCTGCTTTTAAAACATTAACTTAAAAGTCTCCCCCCCCCCACACACACACAACGTGTCATCGCTAGACGCGTCTTGAAGAAGGTGGTGGGGGGGTTTTCAATGCGCTCCCCCCCCCCACCCCCAGCTCGATTTCCAAATGATGGATCTGATGCCTCCCCGGTGTCAACCTGCCCCAGACAAGTCGCTGGCTGCCCCGGTTTGGGTTGCTGGGGTCAGCCGCCCCGAGCCGGTTGTGGGGACGAGCCCCCCTTCTCTGGGCTTTCCCTGGCCAGACGTGAGCGCAGCCTTGGAATGGGGCTAAACCCGTGTTGTACAACCCAAGGTCCAAGGAAATCAGATCAAAGCCAAGGAGGGCTGGTTGATTTCCCCCCCCCCCCCCATGCTCTTACTGCATAATTTGATGGCTTAAACTCTTCGCCTGGAAGGGCGGGGGGGTTGTTTTGCTTGAAATACAACTAGGTTGTAAAAACTGCCCGTGCATCCGGGCTGGAGCCTGGCTTCCCTCCTGACCTCAGCGATTTAAAAGGCTGATGGGATTTAAAAAGAAACCAGCTCTGATGTTTGTGGTTCTCTGCTTCCCCCTGGATCCTACGTGGGCGGGTGGGTGCATGGGAGGGGCGGGGGGGGTCTCGCGTCACACATTTGGGGCTGGGGGGTGGGTTCCAAAGGGTTGGTGCGGGTTTGCGTGGGGAGGGCTGGGAGAGGCCGTGGAGCTGGGGGTGTATCTGGAGCAATGTCACTTGTTCTCCCCAGTTTAATTGCAGGCTTTGTTGGCATCATCTCTGCAGAGCGGGGGGAGCCCCTTCCTTCCCTTGGGAGCAGAAGCCTTTGGAGGGGGGGGAAAGATGACGATGAATTCACTGGGGGATTGAAATGTGGGGGGGGGGTTGGGGTTCACGCAGCTTCAAATCAAATCAATTCAAGCAAATGCAGCCACAGGGCAAGACCCGGAGCACAAACCGGGCCTCCGGATTCCCACGCTGACCCCCTTTCTACTACCCCAGATTTACTCGACATAACTCCCTGGAGTTCAGTGGAGTTCCCCGGGCGTAACACCGGAGTGAAGTAATGGTCAGTTGACCCCTCGGGCTTACTTCTGAGCTGCAGGGGAAAAGGGGGGTGCAGATTTTGCAATGGCCCTTGGCTAGGGGAGCCCCAGTGCTCTGGCCCCAGCAGAGGATCGTAATGGGGAAAAGTTTGGGGTGGGATTGGTTTATTTTGCTCTCGCACTGGTATAAATCAGGAATAGCTTCGCTGATGCCAGTGGAGTGACGCTGGTTTTACAGCCGTGTAAATGCGAACAGAATCCGGCCTCGTTTCCCTTTTGCAAAGGGGGCTGTCAGCGGCTTTGGCGTGTCGCGCGATCCGTGGAGCTGCTCCACGCTGCAGGTTACGCTCGGCTCTGGAATCCGGTCAGAGTAAAATGGATCGCGTGGGTTTGTGACTTGTAAGGGAGGCTGGGCACACAGCCTAGAGGCAGGGGATTTGGGAGGGGGGCTGGGCCTGCAAGCCAGAGGCAGTGGATTTTGTGGCAGGGGAGAGACAGACTCTAAAGCATAATTTTCATCTCTCAACACAGCAAAATAAGAGTTGTGAAGAGATTAGATGCCACAGAGATGGGCACATTGTTTGCATGGGGCAGGTGGATTCTGGAGCACGAGTCTGGGGGTCTCCCTAGCGGAGTGTTAAAACTCCCCAGAGGAACCGTGTTTGGAAGCCAGACTTGATGGAATGATCCTGGCAAGCGTATGTGGGAGCATGTTGGGGCAGGGACTGTCTCTCCACTCCGGGGCTGGGTGGGCCCTGGGGCAGCCGGAGTGTTCCCCGTGCCACGCATGCCACTATCTGGGGGCAGGCGGCAGCTGCAGCTGGCTCTGGGCATGTTCCTCATCCCAGCAGGGACTGAACTGGGGCGTCTGGGGGCTGGGTGCAGTAAAGTGTCTCTGGTGTGTAATGAACAGAGGGAGAAGGTGGCTCTTCGGGGGCTTTCTGTGAATCCACCTGCTGGCATCCGCAGAGGGCTCTGGAGGGGCGATTCCCACACCAGGGCGCTGTTCCTGCCCTCTCTGCCTTGGCCCGTGTTTCCATCTGCTCCGCCTGCCCCCCACATCCCCTCGAGCCAGGGACAGCCCCATTTAAATACCTGGGAAGGGCCGAGGCTGAGAACCCGCTGGCCTAAGCATTTATACCACGTCCGTCACCGTGGTATCTGGCCCGAGGCCACCACGCTCCCCATCCCTATCCCTAGGCCTTGGAGGGCAGGTGGGGGGATTTATCCCGGCCCAGGGCAGGGACAGACCCCTGAGGGCTGACCATTCCCGCGGCATGGGGCACAAGCCGGGGGAGGATGAAATGAACTGGGAGAGGTGCTTTCGTTCTGCCCTCTCCAGGCATCCAGCTGCCCCTGTCCTGAGTACCCAGCTCTGCCTCCCCCACCTGCCCATCAGCAGGGACCCTCCTGCCGTTCCTTGCTCTGGGTGTGTGTGGGGGGAGCAGCTGGTTCCCCCCTCCAATTATTATCCCCTACAGCTCATGAAAGCTTATGCTCAAATAAATTGGTTAGTCTCTAAGGTGCCACAAGTCCTCCTTTTCTTTTTGCGAATACAGACTAACACGGCTGCTACTCTGAAACCTGTCCCCTCCTTGCCATCCCACCGGTTGGGCAGCAGACCCCACCCTCTGCCCCCTCAGTGCCTGTACCAGGGTGGGCTGGCATTGTGCTGGAGGGGGCTGGGGTCCGTCTCAGCCCCCTCGTGCCTCCAATCAGCGCTAATTCCCTAGCTAAAGCCTTTCAGACTCCCTACTGGGAACAGGGAGCATGGGGCCCGGAACCACACAGTGCCTGGCACTCCCCAAAACCATGGGGGTGGGGGGCAGGGAAGGGGGCTTGGGTGAAGAATCCCAGCACATCTAGTTATTGCCACAATGCTCTGTGGGGTGGGGGTGAGGTTGCCCCACTGCCCAGCAGGGGACCCCCAAATAAATGCTGGATCAGTGCTGAATAAATTCCCACCCCCCCCAACTTCAGCCTGGTGAAATGGTGAACAGCATGGGGGAGCTGCTCTGGGGGATCGGTTTTGGGGTGGCCTGCCGGGTGAGGGGCTGCAGCGCTGATGTCCCATGCTACATTGTGCATAGGGCAGGGAATGGGGTGAGGGACACACAATGCTAAGGCCGGATCTGGGGGAGCCTGGCTCCGTGCGGTGGTGGGAACTCCAGGAAGCCGACCCCACAGTCCCATTGATTCTGCCTGGTCCTTTCCCCCAAGGAGATGGGGAGGGGAGGAAGGCCAAGGGATCCATTGGGATGGGGGGCTGGCAGGAAGTGGGTCCCCAGTGTAAATCCAGAGTAACCCCCTCCCCCCCCACATTGGACCCCAATGTTACTGGGAGCAGAGTTTCACCAAAGGAGGGCAACTGGGAAGAGGATCCAGGGATGTGGAGGCCAGTCAGGGGATGGGTCTGTGGGTGGGGGCCTGATGGTGTTGCTTAGAGACCCCAAATTGGTGGGAACCCGTCCCGGCAGCTGGCCCCAGCAGAGACCCCTGGCACGTTCCTTGGGGGCTGCTGGGCTCCCGCTCCCGCAAAGGGCCGGGTGCCTCCACGGGACTCTGATGAACTGGGTTCAATGGGCCCTGAAATTCCTGGCCCTTGTCCCCAGGATCTTCCTCTTGGGTCTCTCCCAGGTCTGCTGCAGCCCGAGGGCCCAGCCGCCCCCTCTCCAGGCCTGGAGCCCCCTGACTCCTCCAGGCAGCTAATCAGCTCACACAATAGCTGATCAATCCTGGGATCTCTGCCCTGATTGTCTCTCCCTTTAAAAATCTTTATCTCCCCAGGGACCCAGACAGGGGGGTGGAGATCCCAGCATGGGGGTGGGGGGACTTCCGCAGCTGCTGCAGAAGGGGCAGATGAAAGAAGGGTGTGGCAAGGAGTCCGAATAACCAGCTTGCCCCAGGCTTGAACCTGCTGACCCCTGCGGGGCGGGGGAGATTTCTGTAGCTCATCCCACTGCAGGCCCCCGGGTCCAGGTGGGGTGTCAGACTCAGGGCAGCGGGGAATTGGGCCCTGAAATCAGGAAGGCCCAGTGACGATGGGGGATTTCAAGCAGAACCTTCGCTTGTGCCCTCCGAACTCAGGAGCTCTTAGCCGGGCAGGCTCACGCTGAGCCCCAACCTGGTGCCCTCTGCCAGCCGGGCGGCTCTGACTGGCCCCATGCGCTGCAGAACGACGGGGGCCCCTTGGCAAAATCCCAGCCCACGTTCCCCCCTACTGGGAGCGGGGTTGGCAGCTCGATGCGTATGACCATCTCCCCTCGTAGTTACAGCCCCCTTGGCGTGGTGGGTCTGTGGCCTGAGGGTCCTGGGGCCAATCCCCCCCGCGTGGGCCGCAGCATGTTCCAGGATCCCTGGAGGGTAACGCCTGCAAATTCCCCCAGCAGCCCGTGGAGCAGTTCCCTGCAGGGTGGGGGGCAGGCTCTGTGCCCGGGGGAGGGGAAAATGGGAGAGGGAGCGAGCACCCAATGGGGGGGCTAGAGGGAAGGTGATATTGCCAGAGCCCTGTCATGGGATGGGGCGGTGCAGTGGCATTAGGGTCCTGGGATCCTGGCAGGATGGGGCGGGGAGGAGGAGGCCACTGACACTAGGGAGGGGCAGGGCCAGGATCAGCCTCTTGGGGCCGGCTGGTGTCTCGGCCCCAGGATCCCTCTCCTCTCTGGGAAAGGAAAAGTTCCTGGTGCTGGTTCTGACCCAGATCAAACTAGGCAGCAAAGCTCAGTGGCCGGAGGTGCTACACTCCCTCTTTCTCCCCCTTTAAAACTCAGGGGCCTGATCCTTCCGGCATCTGGTGCTGCCCTCTCCCTCCCTACCGCTGCCAGTTACCCCTGCCCTGCAGTGGGCGAATCTGCCCCGGGAGGGACTGATTAGCCCTCTCTGATCCAGGTGGTAAATGTCACGATGC